AAGACATTATATGAGAATAGTTAGAAATGTGAAGTATTTTTGTTTTAAAGTACAGACTCGAACTTTTTATAGTAAATTTTCACCATTCTATCATAAGTACTGGGTGAAATTTCAATTACCCCAAAGTTTACCCAAAAAAAACCAATAAAAAGAGCACAGGGGAGGGAGGAGGGCTGTTCTTAGTGTGTAGTCTAGTCATACTACAGATCATCTCCATAAGATTCGACAGCCCCACGGTAAGCTATCAAGGATGCTGATCATATAAAAGTCCACTCGTGAGAATGACACTCACAAAAGTAGATTATAACTGTCTACAATAATCTTTTATATCAGGTGGTGCAATTCAAAAAAAAAAAAATCTATATCAGGTGGTGGGTCATAGAACAGCTAGATTTTGCAATTGAGAGGTCAACGGTCAATATCCATCAGACTTTTCAAGGTAGGAAGTCGGGAATCAATCAGAGATTATAGCACTCAATTGTCCATAAAGAAAGCTTTTCTATTTGAAGAAGTAGAAGGCTTTTTTTCTGGTTTGGCCTTTTCCTTCTTTATCTTTGCTAGCTCTTGAAAAGTAAAGAAGATCATGGAACACTACTAGTGCAAAGCTTGGTCAAGTCGCTTCTTTTAAGGAAGAGGTGATAATACAAAGGTGTATTTTGCATGTCCCACTTGCCATTTCTTCATAGTGATATGCACAACCCAACGTGCACATGGCACATATGAGAGAGAGAGAGAGAGAGAGAGAGAGAGACCAAACACTAGGTGCCATGAACATGAAGTCAAAAGTAAGAGGGAGGCCACAAGAATCGAACGTTAAAAGCCGTGTCTCACATGCCAACAGTTAAGATCTGCATTCACGCTTGACACTTCCTTCCGGGAAGACCTGTGAGACCCCAGGCCGCTACACCGAAGAAGTTCATCATTGTATCTCTCCACAATACTGCAGCCAAGGTTTAGGCCTGCCTTTTTTGTCGTTGGGTAGTACCAGAACCGAGTCCACGCTGGAGCTTTTGACTGTTTTCAAGTGTTAAATGCGAAGTATCAATTGCGTGGGTGGCTAGATTGACAGGTCCAATCCAACAGCACAGCCCACTAACTTTGGATAGCCACTCTTCAATGTGATTCCAACCCAATAAAAAAACTAGGGAGAATTATATATTTGAGATTTATCACTTAATAACTCAGACTCCTTGATAATTAAAATATTATATACAGATTCTTTGAAGTTTGTACATGCATAACACTTAGACCCTGATGTAAATATATCATTTAATAAATTACACTTAAACTACCTTAAATTTTGTAGATATATAATACTTAGACATTTTAAGTTTAAAATATTATAGTTAGACAAAAAATATTCCAATCAAAGATAAAATATCAAATATTTTAAATTTTACAACTAAAATTCATGTTCTATTGTATTATTTATTAAAATAAAATCAAAAATAAAAATTAAATTTTTTTCTTAAAAAATCACAATTAGTTTACAATTATATTGTCTATTAAAATTTAATTTGGTCATTTAAACAACCAAATTAAATACTAAACTATCCAAATTAAAGCTAAAATATATTGTGTCCATTATAGTTTAACCATTTGTTTAATTTTTTAGTTTTATTTTAATAGATAGTATAATTATATACTAACTATGATTTTTTTTAAAAAAATTAGACTTTTATTTTTGATTTTATTTCAATAAATGAAATAATAGAACATGAATTTTAGATGTAAAATTCATGTTCTATTATAAATGACTTAGACCGCTTGTTTGATTTTTTTTTTTTTTGCTTTATTTCAATAGATAGTATAATTGTATATTAATTACGATTTTTTAAGAAAAAAATTAAATTTTTATTATTAATTTTATTTCAATAAATGATACAATAGAACATGAATTTTTGTTTTAAAATTTAAAATATTTGATATTTTACATTTAATTGGAGTATTTTTGGTATAAATATAATATTTTAAATTTAAAGAATTTAAGTATTATAAACTTACAAACTTCGTAGGGGTCTAAGCATAATTTATTAATAGATATATTTATAGCATGGTTTAAATGTTACTCACGTACAAATCTCAGGAGGTATGTGTGTAATATTTCAAGTGTCAAAGAATCTGAGTAATTAAGTGACACACTTCAAAAAATTTGACTGTAATTATCCAAAAAACTAATATCATAACAAGACCACTAAAGACAATACCCACAAGATTTGGTAATTGAAACTGGAAAACTTTGTTAATTCCCTGGTGTGAGCCATGTGGCATTTGATCTAGAAAATATTGATGAGGGCTCCACAAATATTTGCCCAAATTGTTTTATCCCAAATCAATGTAGGTGGTTAGATTATTTAATATTGATTGATCCAATTTACACAAATTTTTTAATCATTGATGTGTAATTGATCTAAAACCAATATCGTCACACTTCATGATCCCACTTCTTAAATCTAAAATAAAATTATTATTATTATTATTATTATTTTGAGAGAGGGAGGAAGAGATTACGGTCCAGTAAGATGAGACTCAAATGGCCTAAAAGACAAAGACTTTGAAATTGAACTTAGTTAATTATTGATAATATTGAGGACACAATGTGGCAAGCTTCACATCAATGAGTATAATACTCCGTTTGGTACAATAAAAAAGTGGGAGGATGAAAAGTTAGAAGGATGAAAAGTTGGAGGGATAAATAAAATATTAGATAAGATGGAAAAGTGGATGTATTAACTTTCTTTCTAACTTACCAAAATCAATCTCTCCGAAATCGGAAAGAAAGTTAATATTTGTGTTGAAATGTATCTTATTTATCTATATATTTTTTATATATACATACAATACGTATACATTAATTTATATAAATGAGTTAAGTTAGGTTTGACTAATATTCGACACAAATCTGTAATGATTCAACACGAATCTGACATGACACGACTCGATTGTTACCCCTATTCTTAGCCAGCAAAAAAAAAAAATAATCATTTTTATTTTCCATCTATCCAACCGTTTTAAAGGAAAGAAAGTGTATCCTTCCTATTTTCTATCTTTAAAAGATAAAAAGTGTATTCCTCCTATTTTTTATCTTTTCTATTTTTTATTTTCCCTATCAAACGGAGCATGATAGTTTGTGATGTATTGCAAAGTGGAAATGAAAAAAGATTGGTTTTACAATAAAATATTCATTTATCAATTGGGTTGGGGGTGTAGTGCTGCTTTAGAATTCACTTCACTTGTCAATGAACCACGGCTTTTTATGCATAAAAGTTGGTTGACAATAAAATTCAGCCACTCAATACCGAATCTATTCCCATGACTTGAGTAATTTAGTTTGAGTGGAGAGATAAAATCTAGAATACAGCATAGAAATGTATGCTATGCCCGACCAGACCACTACAGTTTTCTAAATATATGTTATTCCCCAAGTTCTCTGTTTGTCCTGTACACTTGTCTGTACGTATCTGTATAAACAAAAGGACAGCTTAATAAGACAAGTCTGTTTTTCTAAGGTTGTTCGGGTCTCAAATATTCTCTCCTCTATCTTGTTTTTCTCCCAGAGAATAATACAAGAAATTGAAAGGGATTATGAGTTTAAACTTGCTTGTCCATTAGTTAGAGAATTTCTATGAGTACCCTGGACCTGGAGTAACATCACCCTTACCAAATTTTACATTAAAAAAAAAAATTGATGTGTTTCATTAACTAGTATTACATGTTAGTGGGACTCACTTATCCAAATAGAATGAACACAATAGTCACATGTTAGGCCAATAAACTACTTCAAAAGACACTGTGATTACTTATTTCGATGAATTTCATTCTTTCTTGATCTCATAAAATCGACCAATATGTCTTATGGTAAGATAAAAGTTATTCAATCCCTAAGAACCTTTGATGATACACAAATTAATTTTGTACAAGATCAACAGTCGAGTATATGAAGAGATGCAATTAATGAACAGTAAATAAGATAATCAATGACAAAACAATAAATAAGAGCAAACATGCAGATTTATAATGGTTCGGTCCGCGTAACCTACTCCACTCTCGGGAACGACAGCGGTAGCCGGAGGTCTTTTATTGATGAATAAAAGTCGCTGGAAGAGTATACTTTAGAAGAATTATAATGCTTCAGGAGAGAGAGAACTTGAGGTGTAGAGAGATGTGTAGATGTGCCAAGGTGTAGAGGTCTCAAGGTGATGTCCTCTATGTGGAGAGAGCTTAAATTATATAGGTATGGTGAGGTGGTGAGACGATGACACGAGGGAGAGGGCTCTACCCTTTTGGTAAATACAATTAAGATATGATTGAATTTTTATGAGTGCGCATCCCGATAATTTTTCCCACGTGCTCTTATCTCTCTAGGTTTCTTGGATCCTGAACTAGGTCAGATTGACAAAGTAGGCTTGGACTGTCATTTAGCTGACTTGGGCTCAATTAATTTATTGGGTTTGACCCAGTTAATTTTGGACTTATCAACCTTACTAGACATTATGTAGCAAGATTATTATATATAAATGTACAGTAATTTAACGTTAGAAAATGTGCATCAGATGGACAACACAATTTTAATTTTAGATGTGGTTATACAAACATTTTACGATGAATTTTGGATTGAAGAATTGAATGGTAAAAGAAAATTATTAGTTATGTATGTTTACTGTTTTTTATCTTATCCAAATTAATTTGAGGTGTGGATGAGAGCTGCAAATGACGAGAGTACATGCTCTTGATTAAGAGTCATGAAGAGGGGTAATTTGGGAAGTACAAATTAAATTTCATGGAATGAGAAAACAGAAAGTCGGATATAGCATATGCCATAGAGGACCCACCCCCACAATAAGAACCGTATTTACAATTTTGCTCCCACAACGAGCATTCCTTTTATGGGCTCTATAAATTCTCCAACAATGCTTAGATTCGTTGCTTCCTCTCTTTGAACAAACACTACAACACACACACACACACACACACACACACACACACTCTCTCTCTCTCTCCCTCTCCTCTAAGCATCTGTACGAGCTTTGAGTGGCCAAAGGCTTTCAAAGTTTCAACTTCAACTTTCAAGTTTCACAAATGGCGATATGGATTCTGTTTCATTTTCTTGTCCTTCTTCTATTAGAGCTCACCAACGCGAATGTGGAGGGTATGCAATGCATGGACTCTATAGATCTCTCCATTTTTTTTTTTCACATTTATCATTTCTTCTATATGTTTCTGTCATATATTATTTGTCTAATGGTTGAGTTATNTCACCAACGCGAATGTGGAGGGTATGCAATGCATGGACTCTATAGATCTCTCCATTTATTTTATTTTTCACATTTATCATTTCTTCTATATGTTTCTGTCATATATTATTTGTCTAATGGTTGAGTTACTCAACAGGAGATGCTCTTTATGCATTGAGAAGAGCTGTTAATGACCCACAATACGTCTTGCAGAGCTGGGATCCTACGTTGGTGGATCCATGTACTTGGTTTCATGTCACTTGTGATGCCGATAATCGGGTCACCCGACTGTAAGTATCTGTATTATCCTCTCTCTCTCTCTCTCTCTCTCTCTCAAGTTTGTGTTAGCAAAAGCCATGTTGCATTCTCCTTGGAGTGGACTATTTAGAAACAAATTCCACCATTTTTAAAACTTAAAACAGAAAGGAATTTTAGATCATCAACCAATAAATCACCCAAATCAAAGAATTTCTGATTTATGGAATTGCTTTGCGGATTTTGATTCGCCTCATATGTCAAATTTGTGCAAATATTTGTGCTTTTTTTCATCTTTTCAGGCCAATGTTTTCTGTTTGTTTAATAAGACTAATAAAAATAGTGGTATTAACAATAATATATTGACTTATGCAGTGACCTTGGAAACGCAAAGCTGTCGGGCAATCTAGTTCCCGAGTTAGGGAAGCTCGAGCGTCTTCAGTATTTGTGAGTATATATTAATTTTTCTTTCCAGATATTCATTACTAATGTTACTTACTATCAACTAGTCTTTCCCCAGACATGGACTAAGCATAAAATGCATTCAACTTCGAAAAATATTCTAACTGAGAACAAAATAAAGTACCACATATGGGACTGGGTAGAAGAATCCGCTGAAAAATAATTGTTTTTACAGTACTAACAGATTTGACATTTTACGAAAAGTTACTACTCAATTAGATGAGATGACGACTAAATGAGGTGATTTGGTTGCTCCCAACATTTCAAGAACATGAGAATGGAACCCAACCTCATTTGATTTGGTTGTAATTGATCTTTTTTGAGTTTTAGTTTGATCCCCACTGAGTTATATTATGTCAAATTTCATGATGAATCTCACCAAACTCACCATCCAGTCAATCCATGTATGTCAGATTATGGACTCACTCTTATGATGAATGTCTGGGATTGAATTAAATTCTTCATGACACACTAAGCATTAAATAGAATTGAATTGGTTGGTTTTGTGTTACTGTACAGGGAGCTATACATGAACAAGCTAGTGGGACCAATACCAAGTGAACTAGGAGGACTCAAGAGCCTAGTAAGCTTGGATCTTTATCACAATAACCTCACTGGTCACATCCCTCCATCACTTTCCACCCTCTCCAATCTCAGATTCCTGTAAGCATTTACTTCCTTCCTTGTAATTACATATTTACCATATTTAATCTCTGCCGTCTGATTAGTATCAATTCCACTCTCCAAGTATAAATTATTCTTGCTTGTGGGACTTGGTTGAAATTAATACATATCTTCTATGCTACAAGTAAGATCTTTTGTTATTAGTACTGACTGCTTGCTCACGAAATGTCAAATTTAGGCGACTGAACCATAACAGGTTGACCGGAAGAATACCTAGAGAGCTTACCAAGCTTGGAAACATCAAGATTCTGTAAGAACTAAAACAAAACAAAAATGCATGCCTAAATCACTCCTCTTCCTCCCTCCCTCTCTCTCTCTCTCTCTCTCTCTCACAGGAATCTAACTTATGTTCAATGCAGAGATGTATCAAACAATGATTTGTGTGGTACAATTCCAACCTCGGGCTCTTTCTCTAAGCTCACAGAGAAAAGGTAATTGAAAATATGTGCAACTCACTTGGCCACCCCAGACGCTTCCAAATAGGAGCTCAGGGGGTCAATTCTTGCCAAACATGGGACATCTTGCTGTTTTGGTTTTGGAGGGAAATTTCGCCATTAATAAGATTTTACTAGTGTGAAATCCCCTCCAATACATTTTTTTCTTCAATTTTCTTCTTGGCATATCATCTATGCATTCAAGTGGATTCCTGATATGTCAAGAAGGGAATCGAAGGAAACATGTATTGGAGAAGATCTGCGTCCGATTTTACTTGTTCTCCACTTTCAGAATATTGAACTTATGTTTCTGGGTATTTTTTTTCCTGTCTGCTTGCAGTTTTATGAATAATCCAAGACTCGAGGGACCTGAGCTAATGGGATTTGTAAGATATGATGTAGGAGATTGCAATTGAAGAAACCAAGTGACAACTGGTTTTGGTTGTGTGCGGTGGGAAGTGCCTTATTTTGAAAAATATCTAGTACTGTCAATACTACTTAGACCCCAAAGGAGCTTCCTTATATTAATTCGTATATGTAAAGATAGAGCTTCCTTGAAAGGAGAATCTCATCTCCAGGCCACCAATTTTCTTTCTGTAATATATCAATTCGTATATCTAATGAAAGCTGAATTGGTTTTGGCTTTTGATGATGTATGAAACACGACAGAGCAAAGTGGTAAATATGCGGTACACTGAATAGTTCAGTTTGAATTTCAAGGTTCTTGTGAATAGGATCAAGGGAATGAGATTATTACCTAGAAGGTGTATAGTTGTTCACCAGTTCGGTTAATCTACTCTAAAAAGAGTTCCTTTCTCCTGGGAAATATATTAATAATGGGAGCTTTTGCAAAGAGTATATGAGTGAGGCTATAATTGCTTGATTTTCTATTGAGAGTTTTGTTTCTTATTTATAGTTGACTCTGAGCCTAGCCAGATTTATGGTGAGATCCTTGCCTCCTCCTCGTAACAGCAACTTATATGGTGCAACAGTTGCGGAGGGTGTTGGGACGATTACAAATCTCGTGCCTGGGTGGGTGGTTGTTGCTATCGAGGGGTGCCTGGTGGAAACCGGCTATTTTTTACGCTGTCTTCCTTGAGATGCAAATGTAGAGAGTTCAAGGTCTGGAGTCTAAGTCTTCGTGCAACTGAGCTCCCGATTTGCAAGACCTGAATTACTGAGCTCAATATTGGGCATATTTGAGGTACTATCAGCGTTAAAATGGTGGTTGATTTGGCTCTTTGCTTTATNGCGGTACACTGAATAGTTCAGTTTGAATTTCAAGGTTCTTGTGAATAGGATCAAGGGAATGAGATTATTACCTAGAAGGTGTATAGTTGTTCACCAGTTCGGTTAATCTACTCTAAAAAGAGTTCCTTTCTCCTAGGAAATATATTAATAATGGGAGCTTTTGCAAAGAGTATATGAGTGAGGCTATAATTGCTTGATTTTCTATTGAGAGTTTTGTTTCTTATTTATAGTTGACTCTGAGCCTAGCCAGATTTATGGTGAGATCCTTGCCTCCTCCTCGTAACAGCAACTTATATGGTGCAACAGTTGCGGAGGGTATTGGGACGATTACAAATCTCGTGCCTGGGTGGGTGGTTGTTGCTATCGAGGGGTGCCTGGTGGAAACCGGCTATTTTTTACGCTGTCTTCCTTGAGATGCAAATGTAGAGAGTTCAAGGTCTGGAGTCTAAGTCTTCGTGCAACTGAGCTCCCGATTTGCAAGACCTGAATTACTGAGCTCAATATTGGGCATATTTGAGGTACTATCAGCGTTAAAATGGTGGTTGATTTGGCTTTGCTTTAGCAAAGAATGAGAATCATAAAATGCATACTGTGACAATAGGGGTCCAAAAACACTTGCACATTAGATAATTCTTTGCCCCTTAAAACCAATGTCAACCCCGAAGAAAGCTAGATAGTATAAGCTCGACTTGTTTTTATTTTATGTTCACAAAATTCAACTCATTTATATTTAAAATAATCAAATTATTCGGGTNCTCGACTTGTTTTTATTTTATGTTCACAAAATTCAACTCATTTATATTTAAAATAATTAAATTATTCGGGTTAAACTCTTGTTTAGCTCGTTTTGCACTCAACTCAAGTTTGTTTTTTTTTTTTTTTAAAAAAATAAACCAAGCTTAAACACTTTTTTTAAGTTCATTTTGAAAAATGAACTTGTCAAATTCAAGCTCAAACTAGTTTGTTAGGTCGTTTACAACCTCTACTTCTAAGATCCTTTTGATAAGATAATCCAAGCACAGAAGGCACACTACCTATCTCTTCTCAATGGGCTGAAATGGTATCCGCATGCAAGGTTATATAAAGTCTTTCATCCAAAATAACACAAATTAAGGGTGAGATTTGAAACTCAAAACTGAGGGAAAATTGGTTATGAATTCCTTGGTGATGATTCAAAATCTCCCCTACGATTGAAATAAAAGATAGTAATTTGATGAACTGATGCGCAGCCATCATCGTAATACATAAACATCTAGAGCAAACACTCGGAACCTGAAGAAACATACCGATCAAAGGACATATTTACAGATTTGCGCCCGTACCCAGGAAGAAAAAACACTAATCGCCCTCCCCCAATTCTGTTGACGTGTTAAGAACAAAATTTTCTTGCAGATGAGCTGCACATAGCCAAAATTTATTTGCAGATGAGTTGGACATAGCGTAAACCGGCACCTGTGTCCATTGAAAACAATAACATGCAGAATCAGAAAATTTCATGTCAACATAAACAGCTCAACATCCACACGACAACAGCACAATACATCATTTACTTGCAATATTTATGTTGTCATGGATATAATATAGATGACATATTAGAATGATGACACACGAAGGAAAAGAGGGAACAAAAAGAAGACGACAACGAAGAAGAAACCATGGTTTTACCACCAAGCACGGAGCCAAGGTTCCATTTTTGAGGGACAAACATGAACAAGGAAATACCAACTAATACAAAAAAAAAAAAAGTCTTTTGAGTTTAAGCATGAGAAATATGGTAAGATTCATAATTAAATTATTCTATGAATCATGAAACCAATATCAATACTATCTCAAACCAGAACACAATGTAGTTTCTAATTTCAAGAAGCATCTATAATTAACATTATAATAAATTTCTTACAAATTTCCTTGCAATATATACATATAGAATTTGTGGTAAAATCATTCTCTATTTTGTTATAACCTTAAATATTGTCTTCAATCTTGCTGAGAAATTAAAAACACTCTTTTTGGGTAAGGACATTTGAGAATTTTTTTTTTTTTTTTTGATAAATATGAAAGGGGTGGGGGCTAGGAAGAATGCTCATCGACCATCCCTATAGGCCCTCACCGGTGGGATCATAAGGCCCCTGACCGCGCCTGGAACACCTCTCAGGACCAAACCTAACTAGACTAGCATAGCAGCCAACCACCAAGCCCCAATGGGGACTCCAAGATTCGAACTCTCAACTTCAAGGTGAAGACTAAGACTGTCTCCCTAGGTTTATGACCACTTATCGAAAAAGAGTGAGGGGCAACTTTACAATTTCTTTTTTTCAAATGGAGGCATATATATTTAAGGGTCAGAGCATTTGACATTTCTTTCGCATAGTCCAAAGATAGAGCATTTGTGTACTTGGATTAGGGGGCCGATAGCTGGCCACCAAAATTACCAACAAGAAAAAGGAACATGGTCACCATATGAATATTTAAACAACAAAAGATGCAATGTAGTAACATCATGGTCTTTGTAACAATTTGTAGTCAGTAATTCTTAACAGTTCAGAGGGGGCACTTGCCCCCCTCCCATCATCGTGGCTCCGCCACCACCAAAGCGCATATAAAGTTCTGCTCCGGAAGACTATAAGGCTCAATGTTTTGATAATCAGATAATTTCTCACCTAACCATCTTCTCCTTTATGATAACTTATGCAGTACTGATACGTGATCCACTGATAGTCCCATGAATTAATATCGTTACTTTAGACGTGATTTAAGAGAAATTATTTGAAATGAAAAAGAAATAACCAGAGTTTTTTAGTTACCTCTGATTTGACTGGCTGGAATAAGAGTTCCAGAAGCAGTAGATAGCGGCTAGATATCAGACAAAGAAATTGGTGTCAAAGGAGGTGACGCAATTTCTTCAGCCAACTTTGAATTGTGAGCAGCATCCAATGGCTTGGATGCATTCAATGGCATTTCTCTGTCATCTCTGGATGGTATGGAGTAACTACGAGGGATGGTATGGCAAGGAACTGGAAGAGTAGATGCTGCAGTGAACACCACCACTTTTTTCGTAGCAGAAAGCTCTGGAAATTTGGACACCAAGGGAGCTGAATGATGAATTTGATATGAAGGTCTATTGGAGGCTAAATGAGCAGGAGGCCTAGGGAGTTCATGAAGCTCACTTATTTTAGGTGATGACACAAAAGTAGGAGAAGCACTTGAAGATAATTTTTGGGTTGAGGATGGCCGAGGCAATGGAGTACGCAGGAGAGAACCAGATAACGGCTGAGAGTGTCCGGTTGAGGCTATGGGACCACTGGCAGATAGAATAGGCTTGTTTGCCCATGACTTCCCTGTCAATGGACCAGAAAAAGCTTGTCTGTTGGGATTTTTAGTAACAGAAGCAGCATGTATATCAAGGTGCACAGAGGAGACTCTGTCAGTCAAAGGAGGCGGCAATCGACATGGTTTTGTATTATTGTTGCTTTCCTTGAGTACTGACTCTGTATTTAGGATGATGGGGCCTGATAATTTCTCATTTCCCAAAATCTGTTGATATTTTTTCTGTTCCAAAGGGGTTGAATGCCACAAATTCTGCATGCGCCCACTTGTTTGTATTTGTTTTGTTTGAAGAATTTGAGCATCTGATTTCACCGAAACTGGACTCTTTGTCTCAACTGGAGTGGGTAGCACATAAGTATGAAACTTCCGTGAAGAGTATGGCCATAATTGTCTCGGCTTTTCAGCCGGATCAAATTTCTTCTCAGCAAAAAGTGGAGCTGATTTGCTGCTTTCCTTGAGCTCTCTCTGAGGGTCAAAATAATTCCCACCAGGGGTTCCAACTAGATTTTCCTGCAAATATTCAAAAAAGAAGCATAAATATTTGTGGCTCAAAATAGCCATTGGATGTACAAAAAATCCAATATTAAGAAATCAGACCGCAAAAGGATTAAGAGAAGGGGGAGAGGGTAGTGCAGTTTGAAAAGCCACACCAAGCGAGAAGAAATGACCCAACAAATAAGTTGGTAAAGCAGTTCAACAAATTGAGTTAAAAAACTGAGGTCAACCACCTGAACCCTCCACCAGTCAACTCTTTGTAAGTAATTTCATCTGTCAAATCCTAGGAAATCACGACCTTCCTCATCTCTTAACTCGACATGCCTTTTGGCCTTCCTATCCAGTTTACACCTATAACTTGCTTCAATTCCCTCTCCATACAACTCATCCACCTCAATATCTTTAATTCAGCTAGACTTGTTTTGTGAATATCTTTCTTGACTGCCCGGCATTCAAAGCCAGTTTTATGGCTGCTGAACATAACTTGCCATTCAATGTGGTAGGAACATTAAAGTGCAAAACTNTAATTCAGCTAGACTTGTTTTGTGAATATCTTTCTTGACTGCCCGGCATTCAAAGCCGGATTTATGGCTGCTGAACATAACTTGCCATTCAATGTGGTAGGAACATTAAAGTGCAAAACTCTTCTGATGCACTTGTCCATTCCATCCATTCTGCTCTAGTTATATGGACAACATCATACATCTGATCTAATAAAGCACCTAAATATAAAATTGGTTCATTTGATTCATCACGTAAAAAAGATGAAGATCATCTTAACCGAATAAGTAAAAAGGACTCCCAAGCAAATCAACCTAAACAACTTTACTTGAAAGGCCTATGTGTGCACTCCACGTACAGAATCAACACCGTTGCATTGCACAGTTTAAATAAGAAAGGGGAGGTTCTCTTACCTTCGCTGCATCAATTGAAGCAACATGTGGAAACGTAAGATCCACATGTTCCAACTGCAGGAAGATATTATATACATTAGTGAGTAGTATGGAAATACAAAGATTGTTTTAGGAAAATGTACAAGGTTTAGCAACTTAATCAAAAGATCCCNATATTATATACATTAGTGAGTAGTATGGAAATACAAAGATTGTTTTAGGAAAATGTATAAGGTTTAGCAACTTAATCAAAAGATCCCCAGTGAAATGTTAGTTCTTGGTTGTGTAAATATTCAACAGTGAAATGTTGGCAAAGTCACAGTGTCGCATGAATTCTTAAAACAATTATCTGATCTCATATGCATGATGTCAACGGAATTAACCTACCACACAAACTTTACAAACGGTCAAGTCCTGGCAGTGATAATTTGATGGTATACAAATGCTCATTATTAACATCTGATCTAGTAGAAGTGCTAAGGTTCAAAATTTTCATTTAATTACAGTAGATCACAATGGGCTTGCAAGGTAGTGGGAAATTACAGAATAACAAGCAGAATTTTTATGGCAAAACGGCTTAACAAAGAGGAAATAATGAAACTGTTCAGCATGGTCCTCTGTCATTCACCATGCTCTTCTATAAGCCCATGACTTAAAAAGCATGATAGCATAACTCAAATGGTAAGGACAAAATTCCAAGTAAATATTTTTTATATTCTCTTTCCTTAGATACAAATCTGATTTTAGTATCACATTCACTTTGAATGGAGGGAAAACAGGGTTAATTTTCCTCTCACTATAACTAAATATATTTGAGTCTTACCTCCATTGAGTTTCTTGATATAGAAAGATCTTGTCCCTGGTCCTTTTGTCCATAGCCAAAACTCAACTCACCATCATCACATTCTTCATCACCACTGTCAGTGTCATCTTCATCCTCATCATCCTCATCATCATAGTCATCATCATAAGAATTACTACCATCCTTGTCATCATCTTCAAGTCCAGTAAAATGGTAATCAATATGCTGCTGTTCAGTGACCGATTTGACATGTGGTTCAATTGCCTCGAGAGATTTGAGAGCCTTCCTAAAGAAACAAAGCTGGATCCAAACATGAAAGAGAACACNAAGTCCAGTAAAATGGTAATCAATATGCTGCTGTTCAGTGACCGATTTGACATGTGGCTCAATTGCCTCGAGAGATTTGAGAGCCTTCCTAAAGAAACAAAGCTGGATCCAAACATGAAAGAGAACACATCAAAATCCTTCAACAAGAAATTAACAATGGCCGTCATAAGAATTACTAAAGAAGCAGAAGAAGAAAACCTGAGAAGCATGGTGCCGAGCTGCCTGTGTAAGAAGACTATGGGATTGTCCCCGCTTCAGGGATTTCATTCGAAAAACAAAAAAGGTTGCCTCCTCATCATAGGCCTCATGAGCTTGTTCCAACTGATGAGAAGAAAAACGTTCTCCTTTACTGCTTCTCAATCTCCCCTTCTCTCTGTGTCTTGTTATCATGGATTCATATATATCTCTGAAGATCATGGCCCAAGGAAAGAAGATGTTCGTTAAAAGCGGTAAAATACGTATGTAGTAAATAACAGAATAACTGCACAAACATGATAGAACCTTTTTTCATCACATTGTCTCTTCATCTCCTGCATCCACGAAGGAAAATCCCATCAGCTTTTCTTCTCAATAAGAAACAAGAAATATTACAAATGATAAAAGTGGAAAAGTAAATGAGAGAACAACGAGTCCTCAAGAAATACAAACTTGGAAGAAAAATCCAGGAAAAAAATTAGAAACTAAAAGCAGTAAAAGAAGAAAAGGAGAATCCCAAGTGTCAATGTTCTTCACACACTTCCCATCAGCTGTTAATACAGTATAATGCTTGGGGGCTAAACATATGATACTGCAATGAGAAGGGTGCATACAAGCAATAAACAATAACAAACACCTCACAATGGAGAATCTAGACAGTTAACGCAGATTTGCAATCTAGGGAGAAAATGGGACATCAAGATAAGCAAAAGCTACAAAAGAATACTCCTGCCTTCATAAGTATATGATGCTGCCAGCCTCACTATTCTCCCATAGTCTGAAAAAGGTCATGCTGTCCATTTTCATCCCATTACTACTACCATTTTTTCCAAATTTCTGGTAAGCAAACCTTTATCATTTTCCAAAGCCAATCATCAATATCTTGCTAGCCATCTGTTTTTGTTCTTAGTTTTCAATTCAAAATTAGAAAGCTAAAATAACCAGAGCTGACTTTTTCAAAAGGCTCAACCACTAAACAGATCCCACTCAGCAAGTGTAATATACGGAAAATTATGAGGGAACTCTTTTTTCTCCCTTGAAGGCACAAGTAATTGAAGATGAACCGCAAAATCGAAGTTAAGAGAAAAAAACTCAGCTTGAATGGGAAGCCAAGGTAGTAGTGTAAAAATAAAGAAATAACGCAAGGCACAAAAAAAAAAAAAAAAAATATGCTGATTGCATTAAACAGTTTATATGAACAAACCTCAACTATGCGTAGTTCATTAAGAAGGGACTCTGATGGGATTGTGATGGTCTGGAAAATATGAGACCGCTGAAATACACAATGCAATAACTCACTGTCAGGTATGTGCAAGGTAAGAACTCCAAAAAAAAAAGGTTTCCATTCAAAATTAAATGACCCACATAGCTATCAACAAGTTTCTGGAGTTCGAACTGCACTTTTCCCAGCATCAGCAAAACTTTACCTACAGAAGTTGTTCAGATTTTTGAGCCATAAACAAATTAAAGAAAATAAAATAAAGGGAAAAAAAGAAGAAATAAAGAGTAGAGGATCAGGAACACCCTCCCCCTGCCCCCCCCCCTTCCATCCGGAGAAAAAAAAGAAAGTAAATAATAATAATAATAAAAAGCAAAGAACAAGAAGAGAGGCCAATTTGTAGTCAATTTTGCAAAAGAAGTCTGCTCAATCATTTTTCATCAAATCCTCTACTTGTTTAGGATCTAAATCCAAAGTTTAGGATTCCCCTGGAATTTTGGCATCTAAAAATAAGCAGTGTATTGAAGTTGAAGGACTAAATAAATTACATATGCTTGCTCCTAAAATGCAGATCAAAACCAAGACAAAGCCTGTTGTAACTCTCCTTCTTCCAAAATAAGGTCTTGGATCATAACCAATTAAAGAATTAGTGNTTACATATGCTTGCTCCTAAAATGCAGATCAAAACCAAGACAAAGCCTGTTGTAACTTTCCTTCTTCCAAAATAAGGTCTTGGATCATAACCAATTAAAGAATTAGTGTAGGTTGGGAAAGATATGCAAAGTCCATAGCATAAAAATACAATGGAACATAAACCAATCATCACGGTCATCCCCAGAGTACATATCAATAGCCAAATCTTGAACTTCAAATATCTTTGCAACTCAAATATGAAGAAACAAAATTGAAGAACAGAATTTGACTTCCACAATACAGTCCTACCCTTTTAGGCAAGAAGGCTGCATAAAGATGCGATATGCAACTTAGAGCCAGTGAGAAGGCAAAGTAAAAGAAGCCCAGAAATGAATACATTTTTCTTTTTACTAAACAACCCAAAACAGAAACCCAGTGTGTCCAGACATGATCCTCACTACATAATATATAATGATAAATTGTCTACAATTCCTAAGAGGAGCAAATCAATAAACACTCACCACTTTCTTCATCATCATTCAATGCAGTTTTCTCAAGAAGACAATCACCCATTTCCCGTAGTGATTCTGAGAATTCTGAAAATAGATGCCCATAATAGAGAATATCGGCAATTAGCAATGTACAACAAAAATCCTCCAAGTGAAAATAGAGGGGACTACATGTTTAGCATCAGCTAACTGGTTGATCAATGTCATCAGCACAATTTATCTAGCAAATCAAAGGGAAAAAATACATTTTAACTCAATAGAGTCAATACCATATGCACAGTTTGCAGTCGCTGCTGCTGCAGAAAGCAAGCTGTCATAGCAGTCCCTCATGTCTTCCATGTCCTGAAATAAATTAAGATCAATTGATTGATATATAGAACCCTTGTACAAGATAGAATACAGATATGCATTTTCAAAATTTTCGATTCTCATTAGGATCTAATAAATAACCACGCCGGGGAAACTTTCCACCTTTAAACCTAAAAACAAGCTAAAAACTAAAGCCTTCCTTCAACAATACAAAGACTTAAAATACGATATTTCCATTTCTAACATTCCTATGTTCTAGCCATATGATTAGACCTAGTTCTTTGTTTCTCAAGTCGCGCATGTGATTGCACAAACTCTGGTCAAACGTTGAAATCCAAATTCATTTCGTACTGGAGAAATAAATCGAAGAGACAGATGAAATTTAGAATCGCATTTTCCAATCTTCGTTTTTAGGCGATTCGCAAAAGAAAAAGTTGAAAAATTTTCACCTCAACCAAGCAACGGGGTTGAGTTGACTGCACAACGAGAACGGAACGATGGCAAATTACAGGTTTCATTGTCTTTCTCACTAATTGTCCAACATTTTATCGGGAATCAAACGCAAGCGTGAAGAAATAATAAGATAAATTACCTGAGAAGCCTGAGCGAGCTCATCCAATTGAGCCTTAGATGGTTGGACATATCGCTCTCTTTTTTCGTGCATGTGATGCGCCAATCCTCGCAGTTTCTTCAGAGACGTCTTCATCGCTCTCTATCGAAAGAAAAACAGCTAAAGCAAGCGAGCGAGCGAGAGAGAGAGAGAGAATCTAAGATTTTGTATGAATTCTTGAAAAGCAGCAATGAAAACCTAGTGAGAGAAAGAGATGGTGGCCAATATGGTGAAATCGGTGAAAATGTTGTTCAACTGATTGGTTTCTCCATTTGAGACGGTCCGTCGATGCCTTGTTACGTCAAACAGTTGGGAATAAAGAGCGAAGAAGACAAAATTGTTATGATATAAACACACACACAACGACTTTGAGAACGAGTATTGAAAAAGATTTAAATACAAATATAAGAATAATAATAGCAACTGATTAACATTCGGTCAAAATAACGGGGCTAATATAAAAATAAATTAAAAGCTGTGTGTCTCTATCTCACGTACTTTCTTTTCATTTTATTATTATTTTTAATATGAAAGGCATCCGATGGTTCAGCTTCATGTACTTGTTGACCATTTTCAGTTGACCATTCCGTGTTATAAGACTTTCTTTTCTTNTGAAAGGCATCCGATGGTTCAGCTTCATGTACTTGTTGACCATTTTCAGTTGACCATTCCGTGTTATAAGACTTTCTTTTCTTCCGCAACATCCTATTCTTTACCATTTATAAAAAAAAAAAAAAAAAAAAAAATCCTATTCTTTACCCCCTAGGCTATATCTTTTAATTTTCGTCACTTTTTTCGTATTCTTCGTTCAAATAGAGCAGGTGGATATTTTACTTGTGTGGTAGTAAGTGAGATTGAGATGTAGGCCATAGTTTAAGGAGTGAATGTAGGCCATTTAGGTTTCTGTGTTTTTTTGAGTTCTAGGAGTTGGTTTGCTATTTTTCCTCCGTTTTTTTGGCCGGACTAGTTAAGGAAATTGTCGAATATAACCCGGAAAAAAAAAATGCAGATTTGATCGCACTTGTATCTTAGAGTGCAAGTTCTAGAAAAAGCTTCTAAGCTGGCTTTTTTCGAGAATTGATGGCTTGCCGTGTGCCAAAACGCACCCAAACTCGGCATAGCAAGCTAATGTACAAGACCTTTCTTTGGTCATCAAATGGGAATTGCCCAGCAAATCCTCAAGTAAGATTATTTTATTTATGTTCTTTATACTTATGGTAAGTTTGGATGACTGGTTTGGAGCAGATTGTGTATTTAAAAAGATATTATTTTTTATTCAATCTAAATTTATTCGGCGCTCATCCGAATAGGATATAAATTTAGTCATTTCTCCTATTTCAGTAGATTATATATTATTGTGAAGTCCATAGCTAAGAGTGACGTAATTTGTTTTTATTAACTATTATACTCATATCTTATCTAATTCACCCCCATGTTTAGTTTATAAATTAGCCTTCAACTTATTCCAAATAAAAAAATACACTTTCATATCTATATTTTTTTTAACAACTTGAAACAAATTCTTGCTAATGATAAAAATGGAGCTTTAAATGTAGGGGTTGTTCTTATTTTACCGAAGGGGTTTGAAAGCTTTCTTTGGCTAGCTTCTAAAGCCAATAAGTCATGTACCTGGTATGTCCATATAAAATAAATATTTTTAAATATATTGTAACCATAAAAAATACACCTCATCAACTATCAAAGTTAACAACATAAAACGTTTAAAAAAATTAACCAAGAAGATCTTCTGACTTGGGGTGGGCATATCCATAAATTACATTACATATCCTGGCAAAAAAATATCTCAACCCCTCCTTGGGTTTTATTTAATCTATGAAGGTGAGTTAAAATTTATTTTTTAAATTAGGTCGAGATAAAATTCGAATGAAATTTTCTATTCATTTTTTACTTACCAAACGTGGGATATATGAGCCCACATACTTTTTTATCCTATCTTACCGTAGTTGTCCACATTTATCCCGCAATCCAAACATACCCTTAGTAATCGTTTTTAGGCCAAGCTTCAATACAAATTGTTGGAAAAATTAGCATGATTATACATAATTTTAATTAATAAATTAATATAAATATCACAAACTAACAAAAATATATAAACAAACATAAAATAACAATCAACTTAGAATTGAATAAAATAAATATATAAATTAGAAAAAGTTGGTCTACGAGTCTGAAAGACGTGTGGTTATTGTCCTAAATCAGTTGAGCCTCTACGTGTGAGAGTACTGATAGACACTAGCAACTCCAAGACCTAACTCAGACGTTTGCAAAAATATCTCCTCAATGGTCACGCCCACTAGAAGGAAGAGGTGAACATGACTCAAATTGAAGTTGTCCAAAAATACAAGGTAATCCAAAATACTGTTAAATACATTATAGGAGTTTCGGTTAGAAAATCTATACAAATATAAGAAAGGAAATTAACATGGGACGTGTAGAGAGTATAATAGATTAGATAATATTAAAATTTTTGGATTACATTACGAGTGTCACTCGAATTTGTTCAAGTCTGCACAAATTGAAAAGCTATGAAAAACCATTTTTTCGGTAGAATGGTAAGAAACAGATGGTAAAAGACTAAGGGCCTATTTGTTTTTGTCTCTTGCTTTATGTTTTTGTTTTCAATTTTTTCCAAAATTGAAAACAAAACACATGTTTGGTTATTGTTTTACTTTTTGTTTCGTTTTAGTTGTCTTGGAAACAAGCCAAAAAAATGGAAACAAAAAAAAATGTTCCAGGGAACACTTGAAACACACGCGATGTGAGATTCCAAATTTTTAGAGGTAGTTAAGTATAAAATATTATGAGTTTTAATGTGAAAGAATAAGGAATATTTAAGTTTTGTGGTTGATATATATAATAAGTGAAACAAAGGGGAGTAAAATATAAATATTTCAACTTTTATGATTCTTTGGTCTTCACCCATGTGAAGACTTTGGAAAAAAAAATAAAAGAGACAAGACAAGGTAAAAAAAAGAAAGAGAGAGAAAGAATAAAGAAATTCATGGAGTAAATGAATGGTAGTTAACATTGAATACGTTGTAGAAAAATTTCTGTATGTGTACTGGTTTGTTGAAACTGTGAGCGAAGGAGAATAAAAGAAAGAGAAGAAAAATATATATGTGTTTGTGTGTGTTAAGCCGAGAGCAAAGGCGGAAGAGACTGAGCGAGAAAACAAATCTTGGTGGGTGTTTTTAGTTCAAATCGAGAGGAAGAAAAATGAAATAGAAATAAGAGTTATCGAATTCACATAATGATTCTGAGGTACGGGGTAGTATGTAATATGCTCTCATTGAATCTCTTTGCAAAGAGTATTTCTTGATCTATTTTCTGATTTGTATTCCAACTTGTGCTATCGTTATTTTAAAATTTTGATTGAATAACGTTGAATATTTTGATATCATTGATCGTGTTCTTGATATCATTGATCATGTTCTGTGGATATTGAGACGGGATCGTGGCAGCCAATAGCCGATGCATCGCCAACCAAGAGACCCGTGGGATCGGGTTGAGGTGGGATGATTGGTGAGGTGTTAGATCTATGTTAAGATTCTGCATGATGTGTGATATGCAAATTTGATGTTTGTATCTGCTGAATGAGATACTTTGTGATACTCAATTATTTGTTATTCAATGTTCTTGAACATATTTTTCCTCATCATATTGTATACTTCCCCGCTTTATTTAATATTTTCAGGTTGATTTTAAAGAAAAGATCGGAATGAAATAATCAGAGTATTAAAGACGAAGGAGATAACATAATTGATGTTTATTTGTATTGGGAGATTTATTTATGGTGATAGATTTATTTGTATTGTATGATGATTTTGATAAATAAAATTTTATTAGGACAATTAGAGCTCTATTTTTTTATTTGAGTCTTTTTATATCAATTAACGTCTCCGAAAAAGAAGAGAAAAATTATAGCATTACACGCGAAGCCCAGCTGAAAGGTTTTAAGGAGGTCTCGGATTCAACCCTCATTACCAACAAAATGTGTTATTTTTTGTGGAAGTATATACATGACTTTCAAACCTCTCTCTCTCTTTGTATACCAATGAAGACGAATGATTGTAGCTTTTTGTGGGTCTGGAAGACGAATCCAAGCTCCATTCCTTCTTCTTGCCTGCTTTAACAAATCGATCTACATTGCTGCCTTCTTCAACGGAACCATAGTACTGAGCTAAAAGGTTGTTGTGAAAGTATGTATATATAGATCTATATATACATAGATTTGTGCATATATATATAGCATAGATCTGTATATATATGCACAAATATACATAGATCTAGCTTTGATATGTATTTTGTGTGTGTGTGTGTGTGTTTATGTGTGTCGATTTATGGGTATACCTATTAGTGCGTGTGTGTCGATTTGTGGGTACTGTGTGTGGGTATTGTTATGATAGGCTTTTGTGCTCTTTTTCTCCAGGCAAAAGAGTCAATATCAAATTCTATAGTTATTTACTCTCTTTGTATATTGCTTTTTTTTTAATTAATTAGGGACTTGATATTCTGGGATTATTTACCCTTTTAATGTTGTTAACATGTGTGGTCTATGAGTGTGTTTTGTGTGAATGTGTGTGTCTGTGTGTGTTTTAGTCTCTGTTTGTGTGCTTTGTATGTGTGTTTTGTGTCTGTGTGTGGCATTGGAGAGATTTTGGGAAAGAATANTGTCTGTGTGTGTTTTAGTCTCTGTTTGTGTGCTTTGTATGTGTGTTTTGTGTCTGTGTGTGGCATTGGAGAGATTTTGGGAAAGAATATGCTTACTGCCATTTAAAATGCACTTGGACCATATTTTGGTTGAGTTGATCCTCTCACTCGAGCTTCTTGGTCCCGAAATCAAGGACAAACAATAATGTAAAGAGGGATAAAAAAAATGGTGCAAAAAAGGCCGAGCATTACGCAAGGCAAAACTTGAATAGATAGAAATAAACTATTTTGCCTATTTAACTCCTTCTGAAAACATTTCCCAAGCTTCCTATACTTCCACTAAAAATTACTCTTTGGTTGATTAGCCTTGACTATATTCAAACAAAAACACACATATAACCATTGTGATATATTGGTTATCTAGTCTTCTCTTGGCTTACAAATAGAAACAAGAGAGA